TCCCAAACTTTGATAAAGTGTCTCCCCTGCTCGGCTCCAACAATAAAGCTCTCCTAAGTCCGAGCCAGCGGAGCCAGCACCGCCGCGCCTGGCCCGGCCCCGCCTGGCCGTGCCGGACCCGCCCCGAGCCAGCAAGGCCAGCAAGGCCAGCAAGCGGATCCGGCTGACTTCGGTCCTGGCAACCGAAGGGACGGCCGTGTTGGAGGAGGCTTCGAGGAGCGAGCAGCCCGGAAGGAGGCGTCCGAAAGGAACGCACCCGCCGGCCGTCCCCGTCCCCCGTCCCCTGCCTCCGTTCCGTTACTCCCGCTGGTCCGCACACCGGAAGTGCGACAGAGACAGCAGGACGCGCCCCGGCCGGACGCGGCGAGCGAGAGAGAGACGGAGCGAGAGCGGGGGGAAGGATGAAATCGAAGAGGGCCGACAAGTTGCACTGCTGCTTCATCGTGAGAAACAGGCCGCTGCCGCCTCGGTTGCCGCCATGCCGCCGCTCCGAAACAAATATTTTCCCTTCCGCCTGGAGGCGCTGTGCTGGAGAGCGGCCGGCCCTTCCAGCCCCTCCACTGGAAGGCTTCCAGCCCCCAGGGGTGAGTCCGGGACCGTCCAGGACCGTCCAGGACCCGGGCGAGGAGGTGGGCGGCCGGACCAGACGGACAAACTCCCACACTGCAAGAAAAAGTGTGAATAGTACAACAAATGTACAACAAAAACTGTACAATGAAAGTACAACAGGGATTGTAGAAAGTACAACGAGAATTGTACAAACAAACGAGGCCGGACTGCCCAGCACTCGTCATGCCGGTTCCATTGTACTTTGTACAAATGTTGTAGTTAGAAAGTACAATAAAAACCTGATAAAAAATTTGCCAGAAAGTTGTGTACTTTTGTTGTGGTTATTTCCTGCAGTGCAGTGCGAGAACTCGCCAACTTGGAGCTCCAAGCGGCCGGCAGATGCTGCACCTCCCGTTTTGTTTTGTTTATCTGCTCGTTCCACGGCCGAGGGTAAAATGCCTGACTTGGGGACAAGTTCGCGCTGTGAGTCTGGGTCAGGTGGGACTAATCGCGGAGGGTGACATCTCAGCCTGATTCTCGCCAAGTCCGTTGGGGTTCTACACAAATTCAAAGCATGAATGTTGTTTCAAATGGTCCATGTCGTTGAGCAAGTCACCCCATTTGACGGCGCCGTGTAGTCCTGTGTTTTCCGTAAATCGTTCCGCTTCTAAGTGGCTTACGGGCGTTGCGTCCCATTTGCCAGCGGCCCTTTGGACAGCAACTTCTCGTTGCAGTGTGCCGGCCCGGTGGCCCGGCGGCCCGGCTCGAACCCCACCCGTGGGGAAATTCGGCTCGAGGCGATTCGTGGCCGAGTTTGGGATCGGGTTAAGGACCCCCCAAGCGCGGTGGCTCGGGCACGGCCCGGGGGAGCGGAGAAGTGGACCGCATTCATGAAACCATTTTTAATACCGATAGGACGGAGCGTACCCAACGGAGTTTCCTGCCACCGCTTTCATTTTCTGCACATATTTTCAAAACTTCGCCACTGGTAAAAGTGAAGCGTCGTTGAACACTTCATTCAAGCTTCGACGCCTTTCCCGAAGCGTACAGGTACGCGCGCTTGAAAGCAATATCCTCCACGCTTTGAGATAGGAGGAAAAGAGGAAGAAATGAGCTCTTGAACGCTTCCAAGATGGGCGCTGCTATGCGTGCTATGTCACGCCTTAGTTTTTCGAGTGTAGTACAGCGCGTGCACGGCGAGATACTGAAAAACAAAGGGGGCGGGGAACTCGCTCGCAGAGATGATGAGATTTCGCCACCGAATACAGGACGACGACAGCGGCGCGGCAAAACTGTGCATTCCGTTCGGGGCGCCGGGCCGGGCCGGGCCGGGCCTCGAGTTTGCCGAACTAATTACTGAGATTCCTGGCCCGCCTGGCCCGCGCGGCCCGCCCCGCCCCGCCCGGCCTGAAGACGCCGAGACTTGCCGTAAAACAAGAAGCATAGTTATTACGCGGCGAGGTCAAGGGATGCCCAGGAAGGCCGAATAATTGGCCCCGCCCTGCTGTTCGCCCCGCCCCGCCCCATCGGCCTGCAGCTTCAATAACAACAGCGGCAGCTGCTGGTCCCCCTTAACCTCCCCCCCTCCACTTTTTTCCCCGCGATTGTTTACGCTCGGGGTGATAAAGAAGGGCGAGGGCGCGAGGCCGGAGCAGATTGTGGCGGAGTAAAACTTTTCAGCGTATAGGTGCCGCCCCGCCCCGCCCGGCTATTTGAAAAATTGCCTGGGAGGCGATAGCGCGGGCGATGGGCCGTGCGCCCCGCCAGTGGCCCCGCCGGCCTCGCCCATCAAATTGAGTTTCGCGAAAGCAGGCGTGATTAAGAAATAGCGCGCGCGCGGGCCGCAAGGCTCAAATCCCTGATTTACAGAGCAGATGGGCCCGGCCAGGCAGGCAGCTGCTCAGGGGAGGAAACAACAACAACAACAACTTTCACCAGGGGCACGACCAACTGTTGTAATTTTTCCCTCACTAGGTGCGAGTTTGTCAGTTTCACACGCACCGTCGTCCCGGACGCGGTAAGCTGGCCGGCAGGACGGTGTACTGGCCGGCAGGACGGTGTGCCGCGTCAGCGTGCAGTGCCGCAGTGCCTAACCAACTGCAAGGGCCGAGTCAGCAACAACAATAGCAACCAAACCAACAACAACAACTAGTGCTGGGGCCAGCAGCTGCTGCAGCAGTCCTGGTGGAACTGCCTGCCCGGGCTGCCTGGACTGCCTGGCCGGCTTGCCTGGAAGTCTAGGTTAGGGCCCAATCGCCATTCGGGGCACACTCCAGATAATAATCCGCTGTAATCGAATCAGGACGGCCTGGCCGCCCTGGCCGGCCCCGCCGCGGCCCGCAGAGCCTCGCAGCGCAGAACCCTTCTGCTGGAAGCGGCTCCGTTTGGGGCCGGGGGATGGTTAGAGTGGCGGCGGGGCGGGGCGGGGTGGGGCGGGGCGGGGCGGGCCGGGGCCATGAATTAGACAAGGAGGCGCTGCTGCTGCCGTTTCAATCAGGGCCCGAGGGGAAAATATTGACACCGCAAAAAGAGAGGAGGGATTCGCAAAAAAAAGGGACGGGGAGAATATGGCGCAGGTTTGGCAGCCTCGGCGCGGCGCTGCCTGGGCGCTGCCGGCGGCGTGGTGATCACCGGGACGGAAGGCTCCATGCCGCCCTGGCTGGCGCCCTGGCGGCCTGAGCCCCTCCGGGTGGCGCTCATCCCCGGCAGATTATCCGGTGGCGTGACGGCGGCCTGCCTCCGAGCTCTCCTCCCATAGGCCAGCAGCCCCGCACATACGCGGATCGCACCGCATCCTGCAGGCTGCTGCCGAACGGCGCCCTCGTCGCTCTGTCTCTCTCGCACTCACGGGCCGTGCCGCTGCGGTGCGAGAGAGACGGAGAGTGCGGCGGTTCGGAGTCAGCTCGCCGCAGCCAACGGGCTTCCGGGCACTGGCAGGGATGGCCGCGCAGTTCGACGGCAGCTATGCCAAACAGTGCCGCGCGCAAAACTGTAACGTCCCGCTGGCTGGCCGGGTCGGAGCCAAACGTGCGTGTGATGGTGGGGCCGGCGATGCGTGGCGCGGCGCGGTGCGGCGAGGCGAGGGAGCCTTGATTCATGGAACGAAAATGTGACACTCGCAGCCCACGCGGCCCGCGCCGCCCTGGCGCCGCCCACGCCGAGCGCGAGGTGTATCATATTCAAATCACGCCCGGAGCGCGGAGGCACTTCTGGATGGGCGCGCGCGCAACGCACACGCACACACACATCACCGAGACAAAGATAGACTGCCGACAACTAAATGGTCGACCCTTTCACTCACATATTTTTTTAAAAGGGGGTGGCAGCAAAAACAAAATAAATATAAAAATTCAACGACCCTATGGCGTTATTTGAATTTTTGTTCTGATTTTTTTTTGTCCTTGCCAAGTTTTTTTTCTGACCCTCCGCAGGGCCATTGGCGTTCCCGCACCTCGCCAGGTCCTTCCTTTCAACGCTGCTTAGCTCGCCGGGGATTTCCATCGGCAACTTTATCATCCGTCCTATTGAAAGGCGCCCCGCCCCGTCCCGCCCCGCCCCGCCGAGCCGCGCCACTCCACTTGTTCGTGTCGAACCGAAATGAATTGGCGAGCCGCGGGACGGAAGTTTGCGACTTTGAACCCCAAAGGCCGAAGTAATAGGGGAGGGAAGGAAATGGTGTGTCGCTCCACACCGGGCCGAGCACGGGCCGCGCAGGCGGGCAGGCGGCGCCCCCGGAGAAGGACGCGACGAAGGATAAGCCTCACTCCGTGTTGATTTAGAGCGAACGGACGCAAATAGGGCCAACCGAATAAAAAAAGTGAGAAAAAGAAAGTAGCGAAAAAAAGAGAGAGAAAGAGAAACTCAGGAGAGAGCGAGAGGGAAAAAAAGCAATCGACTGGCAGCAGAAAGAAGGGGGATCTAACTGAGCGGCGAAGGGGCTGCCTGCCGGAAAGGCGCGGCGGGGCGCGGCGGAGCGGGCGGGGCAGGGCGGGGTGGGTTTAAAAAGATGGCAGTGGTGGCGATGGACCGGGCAACGGGCCGACGGCCGGACGCTGTGATTTGCCTCGGTGTGTGTTCGACCCGTCCGACCAGAGAGAGCGAGAGAGAAAGAGAGAGAAGATGTGGCGCTGGCAGCGCAGCGGCCACGGGAGCGAAAACCCCAACCCAAACCCCAAACCCCCCGCGTCGCCCCACGTCCGATGCCTGCGACAGATAGCGTGAAAACAGGAAACGTCAGCAGTGCCGCCACGGCCCCGCCATGGCCCCACAGTGACTGGATCCGGTGCTCCACGGACGGCATGACGGCACCCCGCTGGCTGGCTGGCTGGCTGGCTGGCTGGCTGGCTGGCTCTGCGGCCAGCCGGATCATCCCCGGAGTGATCACCGGCCGCGCAAACCACCAGTCCCAAAAATCCGGCGGTTTAAAAAATTAAGTAAAATTTACGACTCACCGTGATGGGCAATTCCAGCTCGTGCGTCTGGTTGGTCCTCCAGAGCACGGACTGCGGCGGCAGCGGCGACACGGCGCAGTTCAGGTTGGCCAGCCTGGCGTCCAGGTCGTCGGGGAAGTGCGCCGCCTCCACCATGTACGGGCCCTGCGGCGCGTCCGCCAGCAGGACGTCCTCGCCGTCCTCCAGGACGTCGCCGTGCAGGCCCGCGCCGTCCTCCTCCATGGCGTCGTCCTCGGTCGACATGATGGTCGTGGAGCCCAGCTCCGTGCGCACGACGGCCACCGGCGGCACTGGGGTCGGCGACGTCGCGGGCTGCTTGTCGCGGACGTCAAACGCACCTGGCGGCGACATCGTCGACGTGGTGGTGGTCTTGTCGGAGAGCGGGGGCTTGGCCGACGTTTCGGCGTGCAGCGCTGTCACCGTCGCCGAGGGCGGATTGATGCCCAAAGGAGCAGCAGACACGGGCGTGGCTGGAAGAATTGCTGACGCGGCCGTCACCGTGTCCACCGCCTTGCTGGAGGCCGTGGCGGGGGCTGTCTTGGTGCTGCTTGACATGGTACCGGCCTTTATCGTGGCGGCGGCTGGAGTGGTGGCGGCGTCCTTGGTGGGGGTTGTGGCGGTATGCTGCACGGTGGCCTCCCTCACGGTTGTCACGACCCCCTGCACGCTGGTAGCGTCCTGCACCGTAGTGGTGGCCGCCTGCACTGCAGTGATCACCTTGATGGTCGTGGCCTCCAGGCGGGGGCTCGACGCTGCCGCCATGGAGTGCGCCGTCTCGGTGGCCCGCACGCCGCTCACGCCGTTGGCAGCAGCAGGCGCGGTGGACTGCTGCACTGCAATAGGTGCCGGCGGTGAAGTTTGGACGGGAGCAGCAGCCGCCGTAGTGACCGAGGCCGTAGTGGAGGCCGTGGTGGAGGCCGTTGTGGCGGCCCTTAGTGGCGTGCTGCGGCCGGACGTGGGGGACGGCAGGGCCGAGGTCGTGGCAACGTGTGGCGTCGCAGTGGACGGCGGAGAGGTGGGCGCGACCGTTGGAGAGGTTGCCCGGCTGGAGGCCAGGGTGGGCGCCGACGGTGGGTGCGCCTTCGCCGTGGAGGGCAGGTCCTTCTTGGTGATGGTGGCCGTGGCGGCGGCGTGGCTGGACGAGGCCGACGCCTTGGCCTCGGGGGGCGGCGGCGTGGCGGCCAGGAGGCGGTAGCCGAAGTTGCCGTTGGCGCGGCAGTCCGGGTTGGCCTCCACCTGCTCGGGCGTGCACTTGGCCCAGTGGCCGCGCGCGTCCACGACGGTCGCGGGGCTGTCCGTGGAGGCGAGCTTGCCGTGCTCCACCTCGTTGAGGGCGTCGTCGGGCAGCACTGGCGCGGCGGCGTGCAGCCCGCCGACGACGGCCAGGAGCGCCACCACGGCGCACGCCCGCCGACACATGCTCGTCATCGCGTCAGCCTTGGCGTCAGCACTCAGCGACGGCGCTGCGCCCGACACGGCATGGCGGCCCTGCAACACAACGACAACGGCACCGTTGAGATCGTGCGACCCCGACAAGGGACCTGCGACAAATCCCCCGAAAAAAAAATGATGACCTGCGCGGCTTGTAATTTCCCGGTCTACCGCCAGAGAGCACCACCAGAGGCCGCTTGCGCCGCCCTCGCGGGTAACGTTCCATCATTTTTGTAATAGAACGCCTTTATTACTGCCCCGCCACCCTGCAGCCGCACCGCCGCACCCAGCGGCACTCGGAACACGGCACACGCTGGGAATGGACCGACCCGGCAAAGGACGCTCGCCTCCCCCAACCACCCCACCCCTGGGGTCCCTGGGCTGACCCCGCCCCGCCCCGCCCCGCCCCGCCCCGAGGCTGTGGCTGTTGCAACCTGGGTTAACAGGAGTCCGTGCTCTTGTGCAGCAAATTAAACAAGCGCCCTTGCCCGACCCAGCCCGCAGCGGCGCCGCGCCCCGCCACCCCGCCACGCCCCGCCCCCACCGCCGCCTCCGTTTAAAGGAGAAAGAAGGCGGCGGTGGGAAGATGGACTAGTTTAGGAAGCAGATAGCGCCCTGGTGGCGTGGGGAGCCGGAAGAGGAAGCCCTGTGGGGTGGGGGCCTTCGAGGACGGCATCGGGGGCGGAGAAAAGAACGGAACGGCAACACGTTTTTCTCGGCACACATTAGAGGGCCGCCGGCTAAATGAAACTAAACTACTTGTTTTTTTCAATCGGGGCGTTTTCTCGAACTTAGCTTCTTCCTCGGAGCAGCAGGGGATGATGATGGGCCGGGGGAGGAGGGGTGGGGGAATGAATGGAGCGCATGTGCGGAGGTGAATGCGTGCTGGGGTGGGGTCCCCCGGGGCGCCGAGGGGATGAAAGCAAGAGTGCAAACGATTGGCTGCAGGGCGGCCAGGGGCGGCCAGGGGCGGCCAGGGCGTGCCGATTAGGGGTGGGGTGCGAAAAAGAAGAAGGCCCACCCCGCACTAGCCCCGCCGTCCTCGCCCGCCAAGCCTCCTGCTAGGATGCGAGTTAAATATTGAGCAAGGCGCTGACGCTGCTCTTCCCTCTGCATATCTGGAGCCCGGGGCGCTGCTCGCCCGCCTTGCCGCTACTCCACGGCTCCACGGCTCCATGCGCGGGCCGCGGGGAGGGAGTAGCTTTGTGATGAGCGTAGCATGTTGGGATTAAGCCTCCAGCGCAGCGTGCGTATACGCAGTGTTTTGTTTTCTTATTCTCGCGGGTCTCTCTGTGAGCCCCCTTTGCGTGCCCCTTTCACGAGGCCCGCCGGGTCGGCGGGGTCCGCGGCAGCGCGAGCGTGCCGGCAGTGCCGCATTTTGGCGTCGCGGGGCGGCGGGGGCTCGTCTCGCAGCGCGTAAACTTATTTTTGTGATGTTGAGACGACGTCGCCCTCCACGACGACGGAGACGACGACGCCGGGGGACGAGATGGGGCGGCGGCTCCGGTATGGCGCGGCGCCCCGCTCGGCCGGTCGTCGCGCAGCTGCGCCCCGGAACCCGGAACCTCCTCCAGGGCCCGGCACGGCACGCCACGGCACGCCGCGGCACGGCCCCGGGCTGGAGCGGAGGAGATTCCAGAGGGATTCCGGAGTGGCGTGTTTCGTTTTAATCTCGCGAATCCGCGCGCTGCGTTCCGCGTCCTTCCGGCCGCGAGGTGCACTGTCAGAGACGTCAAAGCTTGAGGCGGGTTGCGCGTTGCGCCACGGCCGCGGCCCCTCAGCCGCCGCGGGTCGGGGCGGTCGAGGTGGGGATTGCGGGCCGAACGTGCTGCAGTGCTCGCCCACCAAGGACACGGCCTGGAGCGAGCCGCACAACGCAGCTCTGCGGCGCCCCACGGCGCCCCGACCCGGCAGACCGATTCCGAGAGCAGTTCCCGCCGTTCTACCTCCCTCGCACTCACGGGGCGCCCGAACTGGAGCGAGGGAGACGGCGGAGAGAACGACTCCCGGAGTCAGTCTGCAGGCAGCGCGGCAGCGAGGCACCCAGTACACTACCTTCATCAGCGCCGCGCGGTTCCGCCGTGTCCAGGCACCCAGCCAACGCGTACTACTTGATGCCCAGCAGGAAGAGGGAGGGAGCGGCAGAGTCCGTCCGTGCCTGGCGTGCCCAAGGGCGTGCCTGCTGCACATGGGGCTGCTGCCAATTCACATAAACCATGCGTCGTGTTTGAAAAGGCCTTGGCAGCGACTTTACGTCCCGAAGGGAGGGAGGAGGAGGGGGGGGGAGGCACTCGCCAAAGGTGCACGCAGACGGACTCTGCCCCGCGAGAGGGCGCGCCGGGGCGCGCGCAGCGGGGGCGAGCGTCTTCAAAGAACGACTCGGCCAAAAAGAAAAAAAAGGACGAAAAGGAAAACACGAAAAAACGCGCTTTTCGCTCGAGGTCCAGACAAATAGCAACAAAAATACGCCCTTCTGTGGTAACTCGTCCTATGCTTACAAACGCTCAGCGAATCGAGTCGCGGCGCCACGGCGCCCCGAGGGAGCCGAAATGAAACCCGCTTCTACTCTTGCACTCCGGTGGACGGAGCGAGGGAGCGGCGACGTCCCTCGTTGAGCGCGCGGAAGCGAGAACCCGTACACTACCTTCTCAACGGGCGGCGGCCGTGCCAGTGACAGACTCACGCGTAGTACTTGATCAGATCGACAGAGGGAGAGCGGCAGCAGTCGTCCGTGCCTAGCGTGCCCAAGGGCGTGCTGCTGCACATGGGGCGCTCCCGATCGGCTAAACATGGCGTGTGAAAAGGCCTGGCAGCATAACCTCCGAAGGGAGGGGGGGCGGGCGGCGAGGTCATGCCAAAGGTGCATGTCAGCGGACCGCCCGAGGTGGCGGCCGGGGCACGGCAGCGCGTGGCGAGCGTCTTCAATCACGCTCGGCCAGATAGCGGTCTGTAGGACAGCATAGACGCGTTTCGCTCGATCCAGGCAGGTAGCCGCTTCTGTGGCTGTGCAGCTTTACGGCGTGGTGGCGGTGGCTGGCGCGTTGGCGCCGCCAGGGGATCCAAAATGCTCTCGCTTTACGTCTTGCTGGCGGCGCGGTGGCGGGCGGAGCGGCGACGCGCTTTGGCGCCGAGGAAGCGAACACGGCGCCGCATAAAAGCGACGTAAAGGCGATGCGGCTGTCACGGCGGCGTGGCGGCGTCGCGGCGTCGCGCAGACAACATCGGAGAGATTGAAAAGATTTCGACGGCGGCGAGAGCGGCGCGGCGCTCCAGGCCCCGACACGCCGCGCCGCTCCGCTGCGCTGTGCTGTCTCGAACGAGGCGAGTGGGAGCCATCCCGGCAGGACGGTGATGTGCATCGCCTCGCATCGCCTCCGGGGGGAGGGGGCGCGGGGCGGACCGGCCACGTCAAAAAAACAAAAACAAAAGTGGATGTTACAGGAGGACGAGGCCCTGGGCGTGCTCCGGGCCCCGCCAACTGCAGCGCCGTGGCCGCGCGTCCCCCACCCCCCGGTGCTGTCACTTGCCGACGGCTTGGCGACATGACAATCGAATTACGGTGCCGAGTGCGCGATTCGGGCTTCGGGCCGCGCACTGTCGTCGCACCCCTCGGCGGCCGCGGCGGCCACGTCGGGCCCCGGCATTCCGGCCGCCAACACAGCGAAGTGGGGCGGGGCGGGGAGGGGCCGACTGATGCCGAACTCGGAATAACTATTACGGCCCCGGATTATGCCTGGGAACATTACCGTGTCCGCCCGAACGCCCGAACGGGGACTACAGCGGAAACTACTGCCTGGTAGTTCCAGCAGTGTGGCGGCGCTGGCTGCGCTGGCCCGGCCCGCGCGTCACGCGTCAACTTTTTGAATTTTCCCGCGGTCATTACTACCCAAACTTGGAGCGGCGGGGGAGTTAATCAAAGAGTGTGGAAAGTGGCGCGGCGAGGCGGGCCTGCTTCGTTACGAGCCTGTCCGCGCGCCCCGCGCCGCGCGCCCTGGCTTGCCCTGGCTCGGGTTCAACTCCCGCCCAGGGCGACATTCATCATCGACTTAGCACGGAGGCACCGCCGGCCGCGCCGCGCGCGCCCCACTATTTTTCTTTTTCGGCCCCAAGGAGACCCTCCTTTCTTTCTGGCCGCCCCGCGCCGCCGCGCGCCGCTCGCAGCGCCACCTATAACGGCGCCATTCCGCGGCCATGCGTCACATGTAAATCCCTGACCGCGGCGTGGCGCGGCGCGCCGGCCCGGCCAGCGTGCCAGCCCCCTGACAAAGCGCAGAGATATGGCGGCGACGGGGATGGACGGCCTGGGGCGGCCTGGGGCGAGCCATGGCGAGGCGGACCATCAGCAGGACCTCCAGAGGAGTCTCTTTGCTGCCGGACACACACACACACACACACACACACACACACACACACACACACACACACACACACACACACACACACACACACACACACACACACACACACACACACACACGACGCACGCCGGCCGCACAATGGGCGCACGCACACAGACGCGCCGCTGACAAGCCTCTTTAACACCGACGTCGGCGCCGGCTTTCTGCCCCACCTCCCCAGCAGCTGCCTCAGCGGCCTCGCCTCGGCCGCCTCAATAATCCCAAGCTCCGCTCCGCTCCCGTCCGCGCCGCTCCGCCCTCCCTCCCCTCCCTCCCCTCCCCCGGAGGCGTGATTTGCCGCCGTGCCGCCCGGTCCGCGCGTGCTTTTCATGGCGTGCGACCGGCCGGGCTGTTTGGAGGCTGACAGACACAGCAAGGAGACCGGCTGCTGGCTTGTCCGAAACACACAGGCATCGGGCGACAAAGGACGCGATTCCCTCTGTGTGTGTGGGTGAGCGCGTCTGTGTGTCTGTGCGTGTGAATGCGCCAGTGCGTACGGACGCGTGTCTGTGTGCGTCTGTTCGCCCGAACTTGTTCCTTTATCCACACACGGGTCCGTGTGCGAGACGCGGTGCGCGTGTCCGTGTGGGTTGCTAGTGTGCGTGTGGTAACGCTCGCCCCCTCCCCGGCGCCCCCACGCACCCCCATTTCTTGGCCCCC